CTCCTTGGACACCTGCATTACCCAATTATCATCATTGTCATTGTCATCATCATCGTCATCATGCTCATCATCTGCATCTTCAACATCATCTTCATCATTCATGTCACTTTCGTCTTCTTCAATTTCTCGTCCATGCTCATCCTTCGTGCCACTAACATTGCAGTTTGGATCATTCTGGTGTTCCTTTTCTAAAGTGGTTTTGATCTTTGATAGTAGCATGGCATATCGAAGTTGCTTCATTTCTTCCTCCAAAGCTGGATCCAATGGTGGTTTGTTAAGTTCAATGCAGAGTGGAGCTTTGTCTTTTCCGAGAGTGCGATTGGTCATCTTGTAGGAGAACACTCGTCTAATTTCTTCAAGACGAAGGGCTTTGTAAACGTCATCTGTGCCAATCCATTTCAATGCAAAGTCTTCTTCGTCTTGCATGGCTTCAAAGGTTTCAATGAAAGTTCTTAAGGGGGCAGTGCGCCACTTTTGCCACTGCAAAACCCGTTGGTAATCCCTTTCAATGGATTCTCTGAGCACTTGATCTGGTGATGGTTGAGGAACAGTTACTTCAGGAGCTGGTGCAGATGGTTTCGGGATAGCTGGAGTTGCTACCGGCACAACAGCAGTCTCGTCTACCAACGCAGGTTCTTGTGTCAGAATTACCTGCTCTGCATTGGTAGGTTCTTGTGGTAGAGATGGCATATCAATCAATGCATCAGACGCTTCTTTCGCCTTTTCTGGCGAACCAGGTTCTTGTGGAAGACTTAAGCGACTGGCCTCCATTTCTACATCAGCAGGTTCTTGTGTCAACTCACGAGGGAGTTGCTCTGCCGAAGTAGGTTCTTGTGGATGGGGGACTTGAGAAGGAACGAGACCAGTTACTAGGTCTTGAGCATCAGAGAGTCTTTCAGGAAAGACACCTTTCGGTTGAGCTTCCCCTTGAGGATGTGCTTCTTTCGTGACCTCTTCCCCCTGTGGAGGTGCTTCTCTCGTGTCTGCTACTTTCGGTGTAGAATGTTTCTTCGGGGAAAGCTTTGGCTTGACAGGAGACCGAAAGTGACCCTTTTTGCCGAATCTTGAAAGAGTCAGATTGTCTTCTTCGGATGAATCTTTTACAATGATTGTTTCTGGAGGTGGAGTAGGATCTTTCTTCTCTTGAGGAGATTTTGGAGGAGTTGGAAGAGATAGGAAAGCTTCTGTCTTCTTTGCCTTAATCCGAGAGGAGTGTTTTTCTAGCTTTTGTCGTTTAGGTTTAGGTTGATCATCCTCTGAAACCTTAGGAGTTCTTGACTTCCTCTTGGATTTAACCAACTCAATAGGAATCCCTAACTCCAATGCCTTCTGCTTGTCATAACCTGATGGTTTCTGTTTCATATGGCATGCTTTCGGTCCTGGCCGGATTCCTGGGCGCATTAAAATTCCTTTGGTGACAAGAAGATGGCTGACCATAAATCCATACCCTAGTTTCTTGGCGACGTCACCAGGACTCTTTCTGTTGTAGGTGATGGTGTGGACGAGATTATTGAAGATGATCTTTGACCAATCCACCTTGATTTCATTCAGAAAGGCATGCAACATTTTTAATTTCTCCTTTGTTACATCATCAGTTCCTGAAGTTTTGTGATCAACAACTTTGTTGAAGATATCAACTATGAACTCATAATTTAGTCGAAACCACTTCTTCTTTAACGGCCATGAGATCTCTGTCTTCGCCGGACCTTGATTGTTCTTGATAGAGACATAGAAGTCTTCTGGATCGTGGTAATAGTGGGTAAGGTTGGACATGTAAGAGTCATCTCTCTGTGGAAAACCGTATGTGGTTCGAATGTCTTCCGAGGTGAGGATCACTTCATGATTGTGAACCCTGGAGGTGATGGTCAGAGAATCAGAAGAGATGGTTGAGTTCATGTAGAACTGCGTAACATCAATAGGGTGACATATGGTGTAAAGATGTTTGATGAATCTATACAGCCCTATTTCTGTGAGGATTCGAATGGTGTTTTCTCCAAATCTTCTATTCAAAATGTATTCAAGAAATCCATGTGCATCCCACATGCTACCCCCGATAATAAAAGGTACTCTGGATTCAATGAACCTCAAGTCTTGAGTTAGAAAGCTTGGAATTTCCAGGGTTGATGGTGTTTCAGGTTCTTTTTCAGTATGTGAAGCTTCTGAGAGTTCCGCTATTGTGAAGGATTGAGAGAGAGAGAGAAGTATGATGGATGTGTGTAGGGATTGAGTGAAAAAGGTAAGGTATATTGAGAAGAGGATTTAAGTAGGGTTTAATCTGACTCCGGGTAAACAGTTATGGGTAACCCATTTAGAGATTGATTATTTGAATTTCAAAAGAGCTACCGGTTCCTCTTCTTCATATGGTAACTGATCATAGTGGGGGAATGATAAGATCGTGTGCAGATCAAATTTGATCATTCCATCATTTAATGAGGTGAGAGAAAAGCACTCGAGTGCCTATGGGTGCATTAAATGCACGTTACGTCCAGTGTCAGACAGAGTGGGATAGTGGACCATTTTTCACGGCCACATGATCCCCATTATGACTCATTTAAACGGTTTGGATTAAAAGCTAAAGATGAAGCGTCTTAGGCACGATTCCAAACCCAAAGATAGATAAGATTAGCACAACATAAGATTTGTAAGACAAATAAAGTCAAACAAATCCTTTTTACAATAACAAGGGTGCTTTTCCCGAGAGATTTATTACACAGAACAAACGTAATAATAACGATTACAATCTCTCGTGCATCAGTAGGCAGGCTAGCCTTCACTCAATGCTATCCTTCTTCTTTCGTGCATTCTCAAGATACTCCTTCTTTTGGATATCATGAGCAAATACTTCAGCGATGAGAGTTTCGTGATCTGCCCCCATTGTTTCTCTAGAGATACCTCGCCTCTCCATGCCATCCAATTCTGCCAAGACTTTGGCTTTAGCACCAGCATACAATGCACGATATCTTTCTTCATGTTTCAGAAGTGGTGTTAGTTGAACAAGTGAGTAGAATTCAGAGATGTCTGGTTCCTTCCCAGAAGGTGAACCTTTCTCAACTGAGCTTCCGAGATCATGGTGAGACATTTTTTCGGACACAGATAAGCTCTCGGATGTGAGGGCCATTTCCTTCCCTTTATCCATGAGCTTGTGAAATATGAAGAATGAGTCCATTGTTAAATGAGAAGGTCCATTAAATAGCGAGTTGGACATCTCAAAAGATGTGTCCGAATGACTTGACCAAGGCACGCCTTAGGGAATATATTCATTTCCAAGAAGTTTGTCCTTGATTCGGGATATTGAACAGATGAGAAACGAGACAAGTAAAGTTTCGTTTACTGCTTTTAAGAGACACAGAAACACTGAGATTTTATTATAATAACGAGAGATAGCGGTACAAAAGACAAAATACATAATCCCACGGATTAATTTTCTTTCTCTCGACTTTCTTGATCTTAGATGGCTTAGCTTTTGCCTTTTTCAGATCACCCCACATACGCTTATACCACTTCCCAGTACGAGGATAGTTAGAGCATGAAGATGATTCAGGTTCTTCCCCCTTAGCATATGCCTCCTTTTCATCCTCTTGTTTCAGATAGGCCATATAGTCCGGATCATAAAACTTGCTGGGATCCTCAGGGGTTGCCTGTGTTCCTTTTGAAGGGCTTTCTTCATTTTCAGATTTGTCAACAATATAGGCAGCCATCTCATCATATTGAAGAGATGAGTCGGAATCAGAGAGGATGTCTAGTGGCGCTTGCAGACTGTTACCAGGATAGAAATCACCTTGTTCTTCCCGGATTCGCCTAGCAACCTCTCTCAGTTTGTGAGAGTCACCTCTGGTGAAAGGTTTCTTTGGAGACACGGTGAGGAAGAGAATGATGAGGATGTGAAGAATTCACCTCCTTTTATAGCAAGAGATCCACAATGTTCATGTGTCTGTTACACATATTTTTCAACGTAGCAATTAATGCTCATAAATATCTTCAAGGAGTTATCAATTCCAGGCAAGACTTTGACTGTGAATATTTGACTTTTTATTAAGCATGCTCCAACTTCAATGAGCTTATCTGTCAGATAACTCATAATGATTTATGGCCCGTTTTTGACCAGATTATATTTGTGTGATGAGTTTTCCTGTGACTTTAAACAAGAAACTGACAAAGATAGACATAGTCAAGAAATGCATTCATTCTAAGCACGAAAAATAACACTTTTATTAGATCATAAAGGAGAGAGAAAGGGGGTTCCAAGTCACGAGAGTACATCACACAACAATTTAGAGAAAACGATATGGCACATGAAGTTCCAGACGAGTCATCTCTTCGGTCACATCAGATAGATTTGCCTTCTTTGCATATTCATCCAGCTCCTCAAGTGAGAGAGTGGGTACGGGTGAATGAGTTGAGGACCGAGAGTGAACCATAGTGAAATCTTCATAAGATTGATCACTAGGTTGGGGAACTTCAGGAATAGGATACCAGTGAAAGGTAGGTGTAGTTGTTGAATGCTTGTTAGAGCTTTTCATCACCATTATTTTCTCGTTAGCAAGCCGTTTGGCTTGTTCTAGGTGGTATGCTTTCTTAGCCCTGGATTCATTGACCAGATTGTCAAGAATCTCCTTCTCCTTTCGTGTTGCTGTGTTAGACATGGAGTAAGTTATGTTGACCCTTTCCCCATCTTCTTCCAACTTAATGATGGTGGCATTTGGTAGCTTGCTGGCTTCTCGCAGATGATGATCTAGGCGAGTAGCTCTTCTCTCAGCTTCATCGATCTTTCCTTTCCCTTTGTCCATTCCTGCAAGCTTTTTCTTTTTCTAAGGGTTGAGAGTGAGTAAGGCTCATGAAATGAGAAAACAATTTATAGGCAAAAAGTTATCGTGTGAATCTTAATAAAATCTTTTAGATACTGACACCATATTGAAAAGATATTGAAAGATAGAGTCATATATTAGAGGATCACAATCATGATAACATCACAACCTATCACCGTGGCCTAACAAAGTTATTTAGGCCTTCTTTTTCTTGCTGCTTGCGGTGGATTTGAGAGGAGATGTCATCTTAGGAGGAGTGCTTGAGGGTGAGGAGTTAAAACTACCACTTTGTTCCAGTACACTGTCTTCCTTGACATACCCTATAGGGTTGCCAACAGAGTGAAATGACTCTCTTGACTCATTTTCCGTTGTGTCACGGAGAAGACTCTGTATGTGTTGAGAATGTTCAAGAAATTGATTAAACTCTTGCTCGGTTACAAGTGGATCATTGAGGATTTCGCTTTTCCCTTCTTGTGCTTCAGTGATTGTTCTTTCGCTTCCTGTACTCATATCTGCACATGCAAGACAAACACTAGAATTTTTGTTAGATATGAAAACTTAACCACGTCGTGTACCTCATTTATAAAGATCCTTGGATGTAAGGATGGATCAAATCTTTTGAATATCGAGAGTGAGAATCTTTGCAGATTTGATTCTCTTGGCTTTATGTCAATTCAATCATTCTGATTTCGTGTCTTAGAGAGGAGAATCTTGCTTCACTCAATGGTTTTGTGAGTATATCTGCAAGTAGATCATCAGTATTACTCAAGAGATATGTCTTTCTTCTCGACATGATCACGAATGAAATGATATTTGATGTCAATATGCTTAGTTCGAGAGTGTAAGTCGGGTTTATGGGTAATGGCGATTGCACTCGTGTTATCGCATTTAATGCTCACTTCTCGTGCATTTATACCATAATCCTTCAATTGATTTCTCATCCATAAAATTTGAGCACAACAGCTTCCGGCTGCTATATATTCGGCTTCAGCCGTACTTGTAGCAATAGAGTGTTGTTTCTTGCTAAACAATGATACAATTCTTCCTCCTAGGAACTGGCAGGTTCCTGAGGTACTTTTTCGATCAATTCGACATCCTGAGAAGTCTGCCTCTGAGTACCCAATTAGATCAAATGATCCTTCTTTCGGATACCAAAGTCCGACACTTTGCGTTCCCTTAAGATATCTTAATATCTTTTTAGTTGCACTTAGATGACTTTCTTTCGGCTTGGCTTGAAAGCGAGCACATACACCAACAACAAACGAAATGTCAGGTCTGCTTGCTGTTAGGTATAAAAGAGAACCAATAATGCCTCGAAAGTTTTTCTGATCAACATCTTTTCCTTCATTATCAACATCCATTCTCAGGGATGTGCTCATAGGAATTTTGACCGAACTTTTTCCATCAATGCCAAATTTTCGGATTAGGTCCTTGGTATATTTGGCTTGATTGATGAATATTCCATCTGGGCATTGTTTGACTTGTAATCCCAGAAAATAGTTTAGTTCTCCCATCATGCTCATTTCAAATTTACCTTTCATAAGATTGGAGAACTTTTCACATAATATTGGATTCGTGCTTCCGAAGATAATGTCATCAACGTAGATTCGGACTAATAGAATATGATCATTATCTTTTACACGAAAGAGTGTTTTGTCAACCACTCCTTTCGTGAAGCCACAGTTGATAAGAAAGTATGAAAGAGTGTCATACCAAGCTCGTGGAGCTTGCTTTAAACCATAAAGAGCCTTTTCGAGATGATAAACCTTTTCAAGCTCATTATTGATTGCAAAACCAGGTGGTTGTTCAACATACACTTCTTCTTCAAGAAGTCCATTTAAGAAAGCACTCTTGACATCCATTTGATAAACTTTGAAATTCTTATAGGCTGCAAATGCCAGGAATATATGTATAGCCTCCAATCTAGCTACAGGGGCGAAGGTTTCATCAAAATCAATTCCTTATTCTTGGCAATACCCCTTAGCGACAAGACGAGCTTTGTTCCTAACAATGAGCCCATCTTCACTCATTTTGTTTCTGAACACCCATTTAGTTCCAATGACGTTCTGATGAGATGGTCTCGATACAAGTTCCCATACCTCATTTCGTTCAAACTGATGGAGCTCTTCTTGCATGGCTATTACCCAGTCAGGGTCACTTAGGGCTTCTTCTATGGATTTTGGTTCCATTTGTGACAAAAAGCATGCCATCATACTTTCGTGCAACGAGGCTCTTGTTCTCACACCTTCTTGGACATTACCAATAACCTGATTTGATGGATGATCTCTTAACCACCTAAGGTCTGGTTCAAATGCATCTTGTTAATTTTGAGCATCCATTTCAGGAATATATGGTAGATCAATGTATATCATTGGTTCAGATGTTGTGGTACTTGTAGGATCATTCTGTTGAGTTCCAACCATTTCTTGAGACGCAGGTTCGGGTTCTGAAATCTTTAGCTGATATTTCGTGTAAGTCGAAAGTATATCTTCTTCATCTGAGATGTCTTCATCAACAGGTTGCTGAGGACTTTGACTTGAATTGATTGATGTTTTATATCCAGATGGATTCTTCTCAGATTGTTCATCAAATTTGACATGAATGGATTCCTCAATTACCATTGTTCGTTTGTTGAGAACTCTGAATGCTTTGCTTACTGAAGAATATCCCATGAATAGTCCTTCATCAGCTCTTTCGTCAAAAGCCTTTAGATGGTTCTTTCCATTGTAGTGTATGAAGCACTTGCAACCAAAGACATGAAAATAACCGATACTAGGTGTTTTACCTTTCCATAACTCATATGGTGTTTTGTTGTGAGATTTGTTGATCAAGGATCTGTTTTGTGTATAGCATGCTATGTTTATAGCTTCGGCCCAAAATCTCTTTGGTAGACTTGAGTGCGAGATCATCGTTCGTGCAGCTTCTTTCAAGCTTCTGTTTCTTCTTTCGGCCACTCCGTTTTGCTGAGGAGTTCGTGCTGCCGAGAGTTGATGGAAGATTCCATTTTGCGCACACAATACTTTATAACTTTGTTGACAAATTCAGTTCCCTGATCAGATCTTATTCGAATTATTTTGACCTCCTTTTCTGTTTGAAGTTGTCTTAAAAGATTTGGAAGAGCTGTCTCTGCTTCGTTCTTCTTCTTCAAGAAAAGCACCCATGTATATCTTGTGTAGTCGTCTACTATAACAAAAGTATACTTTCTTCCACTCAAACTTGCTGGATCTACTGGTCCAAAGAGATCCATATGTAGAAGGCTTAGAGATCGAGAGTTTGCATCCACATCTTTTAACTTAAAAGATGACTTGAATTGCTTTCCTTTTTGACATGCTTCACATATTTTATCTTTCGTGTAAGACACTTCGGGTAGTCCTCTCAAGAGATTTCATTTGGCAAGCTTGTTTATAGTCTTCAAGTTCAGATGGCTTAGTTTGTTATGCCATTCTTGATTGAGATCTGCATTACTTTTGGCCACAAGACAAACATTAGCGTTAGAAGAATTTAAGGATATTACATACATGTTCTTTTTTCGTTGACCCGTTAAGGCTATCTTGCCATCCTTCGTGTTCACGATTTTACATTCGTCTTTGGAGAATTCTACTTTGTATCCTTTGTCACAGAATTGACTTGTGCTTAGGAGATTGAACTTCAGTCCTTCAACATAAGAGACATCTTGTATTGTTATTCCCTTTTTGATGATGTCCCCTTTTCCACGAGTCTTGCCACTGTTTTCTCCTCCAAAGATAACTTTGGGTCCATCTACTTCCCTAAAGTTGCTCAACATTGTTTTATCACCAGTCATATGTCTTGAGCATCCACTATCAACATACCATATGACTTGTTTTTCCTGCATCAAAGATTATATGTTTTTAGGTGCCCATTGAGTTTCGGGTCCTTGAGGGTTAGCAGTCAACTTTGGAACCCACATCAACCTAGAGTGTCCACGACTCATCCTTGGTCCTCTATATCCATTAGATGTGCGATAATCATAATGAATGCTGGCAAAGACTTTAGCATTATATTTTTTACGAAGATATTCCTGAGGAGGATTTTCATAATGCTTGAGATGATTAGTTTGTTTACGCAGATGAATCTTTTCAAATTCCGCTCTAGAGAGAGGTTCTGGGTAATCAAACCAATCTTCTTCTGATGGCCCAGTCCATCCATTGCCATACCCAGATCTTATGAAGGATCTTTCGGGTTGTCTGATTTGTCTTTGAAATTCCTTGAGTAGGATTCTTTAGTGTGAATTTCGGACGATATTGCCTCTGGTTAACATTCGTCTTTTTCTTGGATTGAGTATTCCTGTTAGGCTGACCTCTTTTATGGTGTAGATCTTGTCTATTGCCATTTGGTCCATTCCGTCTGACATAAATTTGTCTAGGATTGCCATTAACGGATTTCTCTTTTCCAGATTCCACAACACGTTGTACAGCTATTCCTTTCGGTTGGCTTGTTGTTTGTGGTGTTTCGACATTGTTAACTACCATCATAGGCTCAGACACCTGGGTGGGTCCTTGAACAAATGCAGCCTCAAAGCTTTCGTGTGAATATGCATTTGTGGATTTGTTCAATTCGACTTGTGAAGAGGAGCTGGGGTGAAAACCAATTCCAGTTCTTTCCCCGGGCAGTCTAGATTCATTCATCATTCTATCCATTAATTTGGATGAGTTATTGAATTTATCCAAGACTTCAAGCAGTTCTTGCTCTCTCGTTTCTCTTGCTGTGCATTGCTCCTTTAGAGCGAGAACATTTTTCTCAAGTTGCTCCTTAGCAATGACTAGCATATCGTTCTGAATTCGAATTTACTTCAGTTCATTATAGCTAATCATGAGCCGAGAGTTCTCCTCTTTAAGTTTGGAGTAAGTGCTATTTATCACCTTGAACCTCCTCATCATTTCGGTAATAGATTCATTGGAGGTTTGACTTCTCACAGAACTTGACTCAGCTGAATAACAAGAAGATGAATGAGAGTTTACCTCATCTTCATCTGCCATGAGGCACAGTTCGTCTAACTCTTGACTGAATAGGCACAACAGTCCTTTCTCCTCATCAGTGTTTTCGTCTTCTGAGCTCGAACTTGAGGAGCTACTTTCGGTTGCAACTGTGTCAGAAGTTTCGTTTACTACCATCGCCATCCTTCTTCTTTCATTTCTGGATTTTGATGATTCGGACTTGTCGCTCCTTTTATATCTTTCTCCAGTCTCTTTTGAAGGACTTGTGGCAGTGTTGTTATCTTGATGCTTGCTCACTATAGGATGAGGACAGTTCGCCTTGAAGTGTCCTGGCTTTCGGCAAATATAGCACAATAGTTGCGAGTCCATGGTTTCGGTTTTTGAGGTTTGAGGGGAATTCTCATGCTTCTTTCGGTGGCCCGATCGTTGTGGGTCTTGAAAGTTGTTCTTTCTCATGAACCTTTTCATTTTCCTAACAAATAGTGCATATTGTTCATCAGATAAAAAATCACAAGAATTAGATTTTGACCTGTTGGATGTTGATGCTGATTGATTTGCCACGAGAGCAATGTTTCTCATTTCTGATTCTTCGGCATCTTTCGTTTCATGTTCGAACTCATATGCTTTGAGATCACTGAAAAATCTTAGCCGTGCTTGTTGTTTTCATGTCTCGATTATCCCTCATCGCGATAACCTTCATTTCCCATGATTTTGGTAATCCACGAAGAATCTTCAGATTCATCTCCTTTTCAGTTAGCTCTTTCCCGAGATCTGACAGATCGCCCATAAGTCTGGTGAATCTGAGTTCCATCTCCATGATTGTTTCATTTGGCAGCATTTTGAAATCTTCAAATTTTTTCATGGCCATTGTCAGTTTGTTGTCCTTTTCTTGCTCGTCTCCTTCTCCTAAACTCATTAGGACATTCCACACTTCCATGGCATTTTGGCACTTTCGGACTCTGGGAAACAAAGAATCATCCAGAGAGTTGAAGAGAATATTTCTTGCCACATTGTCCAGATTTGCCCTCGTTCTTTCGTCCGAGGTATACTGCTCTTTCGGCTTTGGTATCATCTGTGCAGCTCCTGCTCCCTGAGCGGCTGCTTGTGCATTCGCCATCATGACCGTGATTGGTCCGATTGTTATGAAGTCCCACATTTCATCATGAATAGAGCATTGGAGAGCCTGCATTCTTAACTTGCAGTCATTAAATTTAGCAAGACTAAAGGCAAGTTGCTTAGAGCGATGTGCATGATCCTTTTCCATTTTTAAAGATAAAAAGCGTGCAAAGAAAATATGCAAGATTTTCAAGAGATTTTTGATAAGGGATCTACCAGGCAGTAAATGCAAAGCCTTTACCGATCAAGGTATTGGCTCTGATACCACTTGTTGGTCCCGATAGAGTGTAGCGAGAGTCTAGAGGGGGGGGGGGGGGGGTGAATAGACTCTTTTCGTGAAATGCCCTAAAAGTCACCTTTCGGTGTTTTGGCGCAGCGGAAAAGTCAGATTCGTTTATTTGCTTTGCACGAGTTTACGATATGAGGAAAACTTTCGGTAAAGGTGATAATGAGGATGATATGAATGCAGAAAGAAAAAGCGTAAGTAAAGAGATAGAAGGGACAAGAGATTTTATAGTGGTTCGGCTAACGTTGCCTACTCCACTCTTCTTCCACAACTGATGGAAGGATTGCACTATCACTCTTTAGTACAATTACACAAAGACCTCCTTGATCACTAAGCCGGACAACCTTCGTAGGTTTTTCAACTCCTCGAGTTTACTCCGCCTCTATCAACTTCTTCGTCAGAGTTGAGGTTGGTAGAAAATGATTTCTTGATTTCTCCAACGTGATGAAGTCTTGACAGTGAGAGATGATTGCTTCTAACAAATGGCAAGACTTCTTTAAGGTGTAAGAAAATGATCAATAACCTTCTTCAAGTAACTTAACACCTTAACACTGGTTCACAAAAGCTTTTAGAGATTTGAGAGCGTTCAAGAGCTTTTGCAAGTAAATGAGTCGAGTGAAAGGAACCAGCACCTTCTTAGTTGATGAAGGTGGGTTTATATAGGTGATGAAAATTCATCCTTTGGAGGGAGATGAGATTTTCGAACCTTTTAACCAGTGGGCAAAGACCGGGGAGCTTCATGCATTAAATGCTCCATTAATGAGGTTGTACCATGTAGCCGTTGAAGGTATGGAAAGCATTGGGGTTTTGTCCTTTAGCTCCAGGAGATGGTACACCTTCATTCAATGCTCCTTGATTACTGTGTCCCATAAGATGAGGTCCTTATTGTCCTAGGATGTTGTCAAATCAGACAGATAGAACATTCTTCTCGTTGTTGAAGAGAAGTAATGCTTGGTAAGAATCGTCTTTAACAAAACTGTCCTTTCGTGGTATTTGACAACTCCTGCTTGACTTTCGTTGTTGTTCATCATGCCTTGTGTCTTCTTTCGTCTTGGAGACCCTATAAACTAGTCATAACTCATTTTCGTGTGTTTGTCTAGCTTAACACGAATTACAGGAGAGTTATGGCAACTCTCGTCTAGGACGAAAGCAGCGATCAAAAAATCTAATAGTTAGGGGTCTACTTTCTACATTACATTGGTATCATCAAAATCCTAATACAAGGTTCCTAACATAGCGTTCTTAACGAACCGAACATATATAAACAAACGGAGGTTGTGCGTGTTCGATTGTTAAGATTTTTGAAGTGTTTGTGTTCGTGTTCGTTCGTTATGGTTTTGGAAAATCTTGTTCATCTTCATTTGTTAAGCGTTCATTAGTGTTTGTTAACGTTCGCGAACACGTTCACGAACATGTTCGTTAGCATTAACAAACACACACTACTGAAAATTATGGAATTTTCGACCACCTGAAAGTGATCTTAAATCAAGTCGAAAGCCTTGTTCCGACCACTTTTGGTATCCGGAAAAACCTTTGCAGCTATTTCCGACCACTTTTGCTTTCAACTTGATTTAAGATGACTTTCAGGTGGTTAGAAATTACATAATTTCTAGTAGTGACATTCACGAACATGTTTGTTAACAATCATGTTAATGAACATGTTCATTAATATTTGCGAACATGTTCGTTCACGTTCATAAGCACGTTCGTGAATGCTTAATAACCAAACATATGAACATGCATGTTCATGATCACAATTTGTTCATTAACAATAAATAATATATGTTCACGAAAAATAACCAAACATGTAACACAACTATAAAGAGAATACAAACAAATATTAAACGAACACAAATGAGCTTGTTCACAAACATTATTAAACGAAGAACACTAAACGAGGTTGTTCGCGAACATTAGTAAACAAATTGTTGGTCCCGGTAGAGTTGTAGCGAGAGTCTAGAGGGGGGGGGGGTGAATAGACTCTTTTTGTGTTTTGCCGAAAAACAACCTTTCGGTGTTTTGGCGCAGCGGAAATGTTAAGTTTGATTACTTGCTTTGCACGGGTTTTCGTTATAAAGGAAACTTTCGGTAATGTCGTGAAAGATAATATGATGCAGAAATGAATAGCGAAAGTAAAGAGATAGGGAGACGAGAGTTTTATAGTGGTTCGGCCAACTTTGCGTACTCCACTCTTCTTCCACAACTTATGGAAGGATTGCACTATCACTCGTTAGTACAATTACACAAAGACTTCCTTGATCACTAAGCAGGACAACCTTCGTAGGTTTTTCAACCCCTCGAGTTTACTCTGCCTCTATCAACATCTTCTTCAGAGTTGTGGTTGGTACAAAATGATTTCTGATTTCTCCAAGGTGATGAAGTCTTGACTGATGATGGATGAATGCTTCGTACAAGTTGCAAGACTTCTTTAAGGTGTAAGATGAGTATCAATGAGCTTTTTCAAGTATCTTTGCACCTTAACACTGGTTCACAAAAGCTTGAGAGAACTGAGATCGTTTAAGAGATTTTGCGTATAGATAGATCGAGTGATAAGAACCAACACCTTCTTAGTTGGTGAAGGTGGGTTTATATAGGTGAGGAAAAATTCATCCGTTGGAGGGAGATGAATTTTTAAACCTATTATCCAGTGGGTAAGGACCGGGGAGCTTCCCGCATTAAATGCTCCATTAATGAGATTGTACCTTGTGGCCGTTGCTGGCATGGAGAGCCTTAGGGTTTTGTTCTTTAGCTTCAGGAAATAGTACATCTTCATTTAATGCTCCTTGGTATGCGTGTCCCACAAGTTGAGGTCCTTTTGTTCCTAGGATGTTGTCAAGTCAGATAGTGGAGACATTCTTCTTGTTATTGGTGAGAAGAAATGTCTTGAAGGATTGTCGTTAATAAGACTGTCCTTTCGTGTTTAATGACAACTCCTGGTTAACTCTCGTTGCAGTTGCTTCATGCTTCGTATCTTATTTCGTCTTGATAACCCTAACAACTAGGCATAACTCGTCTTCTTGTGTTTGACTAGCTTAACACGAATTACATGTGAGTTATGGCAACTTTCGTCTAGGACGAAAGCGGCGATTAAAAGTATTAACGGTTAGGGGTCTACTTTCTAGATTACATTGGTATCATCAAAATCCTAATACAAGAGTTCCTAACAATTTCCCCCTTTTTGATGATGTCAAAACCTATACTCTTCTTATATGGCTGATAAAAGGTTCCGTTATGGATTTTCTATTACAAGTCAGCCATACTCGAGAGTTTACAAGTCTTTTCTAGAAAAATGCAAATAATAAGTAAGATAAGGACAAGTAACTCAGACAAGTGACACGAGATGTGTAACAACGAGTTCTTTATATATGGATAAAGATGATTACAAAAACATTCTAAGAAATACATAAAGAAGGGCATCTTACAGATCTAGAAGATTCGACATCTGTGGCTTAACTTTTTCTCGTTCATGAATGTCCCTTTCCTCTTGCTGTTTGAGCATTCTATCGGTATCGATCTCCTTGTTGATTCGTTCTCTGAAGATCTTGATTGGATTTGTTTTGACTAGATCTTCGTGTTTTCCTCGAATGTTGAGACTTATGTATTTGTTGTAAGCCTCGCGAATGTTTGCTCCTGCAATTACTCCAGCCTTCCACCATGAGATGAGTTCAAAGGAATTCATTCCTTCTTTGTAGCTCTTTCCAGACTCGGCATGCACTTTGAAAGCTGCATTGTAGATGACACCATGCTCAGAGTGTTTGGTCACTTTCGTGAGATCTTCAATAAGCTTCTTTACTCTCTCTCTCTTTCCTCCAGTTCATGCTCTCTCTTTCGGGCTTCTTCTTCGTGTTTCTCCCATAGTTCTCTGTTTTGTCTCTTGATTCTTTCGTTTTGGGTGCTTATGTGATGTTGTCTAGTGTAGTTGTCCTTTGTCTTCAGCCAGGTAGGAACATTGCAACCCTCAAAACGC